AATAGTTTTGGACTTAATTGTAAAGTTGTGTACTTTGCTGTAATCGTTATAAAAGTTGTACACTTAATTATAATTATAATTGAAGTTATAGAACTACTCATATAATTAAATGTATACTAATTAAACGTGGGCTTTAATTAAAATTCCTATTTGAATTTTAATTAAGACTTTTGTTTGAAATTGGAATTATTATTGTACATGGATTGGAACATCTTGATCTCTATAAATAGAGACTAGATGGACATAGAAATCCTAGGACGATTATAATACAATAATTTCATAGTATTCAAATTTGGAGAGAGAAAAAATTATTTTTCTTGCTTTTATTCAATAATCCACTACAAAAATTAATTTCTTAATTTAATTAAAAAAAGATGCCCACCCACCAACGTAGTATTCACTTTGGAGAATACTATAGAAAACTTGGAGGTTTAGCATATCAAGTTCTTGAAATTAAAAAGTTGATAGCTCGTGATCCAAAAGACCGAAGTTCGATTTATTCAAGAATTAACAATCGAATTTAGGTAAAGATTTGAATAATTTATTCTTGATATAACACACTCGTAAACATTTAGAAAATCTTGTTTATTGAATTAAAGAAATTTTTTAATTTCTGGATGATTCCACTTCCGCATTCCAACAGCTAGAATGAAAGATTGAAGAGAATATTATAGAATGAAATATTTATCTTTTTAAAGTCTTTCATTACATTTTAATCTCATATAAATTTACTTAAATAGACATATATTAAATTGAATAAAAATAAATCTTTCTAAATTCATATACTAATATTTATTTTCATTAAATTCTTTTGGACCTTTTTGTATTCTTTTAGAATTTGTGTTTGATTAAAACACTAATAATCATAAACTATCATCTTCACATTTTATGGATCAAATTTTTTTTTATTAAAAGTAGTAATTAACATATTTTAAACTGTATATAATAAAATAAATAAAAAATAATAGTCAATTGAAGGTAAAGGGAAGAAGGAATTAGACAATAATATTACCATTTCTACATTTATAATCCTTTCATTTTATTTTCACAAAATTCTCTCCAATCGATACAAACTTCTAAAATTTTATTGTCTAATCGCTCTGCTTTTTAATTTATTTTATTATGTATAGTTTAAAATATGTTAATTACTACTTAAAAAACTGCTAATTTTCCTAAACTGGATTATATAATTTTATGTATAGAGTCCATGTCACATTGACGATGGCAATGATTATAGGGTTTATGGTTCATAGAATCCCATCT